CTGAATGGTTGTGGTATCTATTCTGTCTTAGTTCAATTCCTCTTTATCACAATTTATGTTTACCTATCCCAGTAATGCACTTCTTTGAGCCGGTTTAATGAAGTGTCTTCCGATTCCATGGTGACTCTCATCTTTAGAAAACTGGGTTAGATCAATTCTGTCGAACTAATATAGCCCATGTCGTCTTCCAAACGTCCCCTTCCACTGTTCTTTGACGACATTTTTTAACTACCGTCTATCTGTTTGACCTTGCTTCGGATACTGATGAATCTCAAGATCAAAACGTAAGAAGTCCTTCCATCATAAAAAGCTCAACTATAACTTGCTTAAATCATATTTTTACCAAACACGCCTTTACAATTATGTGACTAAAGGAAAATGATAATCTTTCTCTTATGCTCGTTAGGAAGCTGGTGACCGCAACATCTACCACCGATATTGTCTGGAGCGTGCTTCCGTACATTGTACCCATGTATTCACAACAGTGAGTAAAATAACTGGTGTGGAAAGCAAGCACTTACTTTGTCGCGAGCCTGATGTGCTCACACCAAATGGTCTTAATGTCGTCAAATTTGCGGCTGTCCACGAGTTCCAAAATCGGCATGCTGTAGCGAAAGAGAAGCTACACCAATTCATTCAGGGACATTTTTATGGGTAAGCTTATTTCTGAGGCCACCTACGTTTTAAGTTATGACTTTTTTTACTAGGCTTGGAGGATAACGCTATTTGGATCCCATACGCAAAGTTGAGATAAAGTGGATTTCAGCAATGATCGTCGTTATCCTATCCATCACAAGAAAATTATTCTCCTGTTTCGATATTTTATAGCTGATTGATTTTAAAACACAAACCATTAGGAATTGTGAATACACGAATAATCACGTGTTTATCATTAACTTCGATATTTTACCGGAATGATGCTAGTTTCGTGCTTGTCTTGAGCCATCAGTAGTAGGGTTGCTAATAAGTTGCAGCCAACATAATCTCACTGTAAATTTACAAGATTCTCTGCCTGCTCAAGATTGCCTGGCCAATAAACACACATTATAGACATCTGCTTTGGTGATCGAAGATGAAGTTTAGCCTGGATGCTAACCCACTTTATAGATGCCTAGAGTAATTCATGATAAAAATCAAGCTTATTTTCATCGTGGATCCTGTAGATCTTAAATAAGGGCTTCAGTAATTATGGCTTTTTATGCTAATTTGTAGGAGTTTAAGAAAAAACTAAAATCGGGAATATGAAATTCAAAGTGCGTGATTGGATCTCTGGAAGTTTTCAACAATCACAGTGGTCAATATGCACAAATCGTTTTATGAAATTAGTCATCATTCTCATCAGCGATTGGTGACGGTGTTTTACTTATATCAAACTCATGATGATAATTATGCTCTTTCACATTATTTAAATCACCACATATACGGCCTCTAAAATTTCTTTTATAAGCGTTCTACCATAGTGACTTTGTGGTCATTCTGTTGATTCATCACTAAATCAGCTGACTCACTTGACCCTCGGCATGGTTAGTCGTGACTTCCGAGATGCCGGTTTGTCTGATCCGAATGTCTTCACTTGTCTCTATCTTGTAATATACTATATTTTCTAGGTTTTATGCGTTTACCAAATATGGTTTGATATTTTATTTACGTTTTTAGCCACTATGATTTTGACTTGGAAAAAACCCTCTATTTCTTTATTGCTGGTCGATACGAATTTCAGAACAAGGGGGCTGATATTTTTATTGAAGCTCTTGCCCGACTCAATCACAAATTACAGGTATAGTAGATGTTTGTATTTTGTTACATTTATTGATTAATCGCACCTGATAAGTGATATCACATTTCGTTGCTTCATTTTCTAAATCATTTCTACATATCATAATTACATTGTGCTTCTTGAGCTATACATTATTCTTCAAATACTTTCCAGGCTTCATAACTGACCTAACAAGGCGCAGCGTTAATCAAGGTTGAATAACTATCTCTTTCATCTTTCCAATAATGAGTTTTAGCTTTAAGTTGTAGACGTTCCGT